AAATATAAAGTTCCAAGAAAGAAATAAGTCAACACACTTAATTAAACAATTACACAATTATGTACAGGGACTTATATCAACAGTGCTATAGTAGACACGTGCCACCGTCCCGTACAAAATTCCAACGATTACAACTACGATTTACAGTTTACAAAATAATTTCTAATTCCTAAAATAACTAATTTCTAACCTAATGTAATAATAACCTAACTAAACATATAATAATTTCCCTACAATATAAAAATAATATCCTATACTAACGATAACTCAAGTCTCGCCTGTCATATGTATTCCGCCAATATGGGCGGCCCACTATACAGGCGAATGAAGTTCCGTGAAAACCTAACAAGTAAACTAAATTAAATTAAATTTAACTTTCAGAACGGCAGTGAAAACACCGCCGACTCTGAATTACCCCTAATAAATAATTAAATAAACAATAATAAACTGCTAGAACTGTCCCAAAATCTCTCACTCGTAATTCGCGCACTGGTCAACAAAATGGCCAGCGCACGTGCGAGCGAGAGGGGACCAGCAAGGTAGAAAAAAAATATGGAAAAAAAAATGTCAAAATAGCGCGAATAGCGTGAGTTCTTTCTCACTTATGACACCAATTGTCGTGAATTCGGTGTGTGTTATTCACACACCGTCACAACAAGTAGTTGTAAATGCTCTCAGCTCCTGAAATCAAAGACAAGGTGGAGGAAAAATCACTCACGTGTTGTTCGTTCGGGTTCAAGATGTATAAGAGACCGCGCCGAGATGTCACATCCAGGTTGTCGGCGCGGTTACGGGTCTAAGGGAGATAACTCTAATCAAAATTCACCACACAATTCTTTCATTAATCTTAATCCTGCCAGGACATGCTGACTGACTATATTCAAATAATATATATATATATTGCAAATTCTGGTTAAATATTTAGAGTATATCACTTATTTTCTTGTGTAATAAAACAACTTGATAAAAAACCCAGCTAGAAGGTAATAATTATCTGAGCAATGTATGATTATTAAAATAAAGAATTATTTAGGCTAGAAGGAACACTAGGCTACATCTTCGTTTCATCCACAGTACGGTGAGAATTGTGATCTCGCAAATGCCGGATACATTTCGAGAGCGTGTATTAGTTTTATTACGGTACCGTCGAGAATGCGGCGCTGCAGTCGCATTGTTTACAACACCGGAATGGTTGAAGTTCAAGCGAACGTCTGTTTGCAGTAGGTCTGTTTTTTGATAGGGAGGTACACGTCTAAAATAAAATGAGACGCAAGATTAACATTTCAGCACGTTTGTAAAACTATCCATTCGTCCTTATTTAATTGGAGGGTTTTAAAAGTAAATGGTCTAGAAATACTCGGGACGAAATGTCTCTTCCTTTCTCTCAATGGAGCAGACGGGCACCTGAAGCGTACGATATGTCCGCCATATTTAAGATCAAATTCAGACTAAAGTCTGCCCGTTTTTTTCATAATCCCCAAGCTAAGTCTGTTTTAGACTTAAGTAAAAAAAAAATGAGACTAAAGTCCAGATTTAGACTTACAAGTCTGTTTCATGATCCTGGGCCCCGGACATCGTCCGTCTCGGAGTATTGTTAGTTGGTTCATACAATATTAATAATAAATGAGAATCTTGGCCATGCACCGAATTCATAAAAGTAATATGTATAACCCTAATATGTATTGGATGCTTTGTGAAATCGTCAAGTGAAAGTACGTTTATCATATATTATTTCAACAACGGACAGATCATTCGGCGAAACAATTCACAAATAATCGATTAATTATGTGTCTCTGATATCATCTAGAAACCTAAGATATGGAATAAATACGATAAACAAATATGCAAAGTTGTAATTATTTACTAAACATTATTATCTACTGCTAATTTATCGTAACTAGCCACTATAGATAGGAAATCTCGATTAAAATAGTTATCTTCTCAGATCGTTTTATTCCATTTCGTTTTCAATCATTCCTCGCGTTTCGTTCCACCTACTTTCAATCCATTCCGTTCCTGTGAGCAAAACATGTTTCGTTCCGTTCTATTCGCGTTTCGTTCCAAACAGTGAATTTATTTTCGTTCCGTTCCGTTTAGGCCTTGTTTCATTCCGTTTTCATTTCGTTCTCGTTGCGTTTTCATTGCATTTTCATTCCATTCCGTTTGTCAACTGAAACGCTGACACCCCTGTAACAGCTTGCTGTCAGAAGACTTATTCAAAACAATTTCTGGGCGTAAATTCAAAGCTTACGCTGGTTTTGAATTCGGTGAAAATCTTCATCTCGCTGGTAAATACCAACACAAGCTAGACAAACTTTCTGCTAATTTAGATTAAAGAAAATACGTCACTTTAAATCAGTAATGCGCATGTGCCAACCAGTCACGTTGAGCTGACTTTTTGTATAATTGACATTTTCAATTGGTATAAAATAACCAAGTGAAATAACGTCTTTCATATTTATCACGGAACTATAAAAACAAGGCATGTTTTTTTTATGTGGTATAAAATAACCAAGTGAACTAACTTTGTCATATTTATCTCGGAACTATAAAAAACAAGGCATGTTTTTATGTGGTATAAAATAACCAAGTGAACTAACTTTGTCATATTTATCTCGGAACTATAAAAAACAAGGCATGTTTTTATGTGGTATATCATAACCAAGTGAACTAACTTTGTCATATTTATCTCGGAACTATAAAAAACAAGGCATGTTTTTATGTGGTATATCAACTTGTCAAGAAGGCAATTCTCATTGATTAGAATACTAATGAACTGCAGAGCTGTGTCTGGAATTATGAAGAAATGTAACGTAAATGTAGAACTCATTTCAATTATATTTTTTTACATGTTATTTTTTTCCAGTAATTTTAATTTTATTTGCTAATCCCTTTTGCCACAACCCCAGACCACCCTTCTTCAATAATTACTATAACTTATTGTCATAAATTACACAGGTAATAGCTAATGAAATGAAATCAGCAACTGTAAAAAAATAGTTCCCATATGAAACAAAAAAATGATAAATGCATTTGATCCACATATATAAATTGAATTGTGCAATGGAAGACGTAGCCACACGAACGCAACATTTTCATGATTAAATATAAATAGCGAAAACTCGTTGATTACAGTTAATTCACAAAACACTACTTGGCCAGCCGTCAGAAATTGTATTCCGCTTGTAGAAAATTGCTTATAATCCATTTTTGTATTAACCGGGATATCACGTGATATTTCGACTTTCACTTTCGACATTGTTGTCTGCTACGCTTCGTAAGAGAAAAAACTTATTATGTATGTCTTTGACACGAAATTATTCTCATTTGATCATGGATTTATGAAAAGGAATATTTATTGGACACTGTTGACCATTTAAATGTAAGTAAACACGCTATACTTTTTCTAAATCCGAACTTAAAAAATTTGATCGTCAGCATCGGGAAAATCAGCTATGAGCAGTTAGAGGTTACGCGGCGCCTGTCAAAAGTTTTTCGCCGTGTAAAACCTCTAACATTGTTGGAGTAGGGTGTCATTATAGTGGAGTCCCTAAGGGAATCCCGTGGGAATTTTTTTGAAGGAAGCTAGAGGTGTTGATTTTCTGAAAAGTTATGGTGTCCTAAATCAAAAAAGTTTTACTGGAAAAGTGTTTTTACGGCACTTATAATGCTTTGAAAAATCATTTCTGAAGAGAAAAGACACCTTGCGAGACTTTTATAAAATAAAAAAAGAGAAGGAAAATAAAATCCACAACAGTGTCTGAATGTAAAAATAAAGCTACCTGTATCAGGATTCGAACCCTGAACCTCAGATCGCTTTGTTGCTTAATCGATTGAGCTTCCTAAGTATCCTGACATAGTTGCGCTACAGTTATATTCAAAATTAAATTAAGGGGAGGTTACTGTATCAACGAAATAAACAGTGGAATTCTCTAATGTTTTGCTCCCGGCCGACAGGGATCCTTAAGACCATTAATGGAACACTGTTACAGTTTCGTCATTTGGAACACCTCGCCCCGATTACAGTTCTTTCTCTCGTTAGATGACCAAATCGACCGAGGTGTTCCGAATGCAGTTTCGTGTGGTTTCTATATCAAGGGCATAGCTGTAGCGTAAAATTCGCGTGATGATATGATTACGTTAATGAAACCTTATTAGCAAGTGCTCTGCTTGTAATTATAAATATCAACACATCTGCGTACGTTATCTGTCCTGGCATTACGGCTATACCGCCATCTGTTTGATATACGGCATTCAAATTAGCCTAAATTTCCGTATAATAATCCTTTATCATAGCCCATAAAACGACCATAATATGATAACGATGACTAAAATATTATAAATACTATGTAAACTGGGCTGACCTTAAAAGCGACATGTAACTTACATGGGACAAGGACATGTCTGTCCATTACAAAAATGTTGTCCCGTACCGGGTTCACACGAATAAGCACTGTTGTTATCATTTCGTGCGCGGATATCCGCTTTCATGTATTAGCCGTTTGAGTTGTCGTTGACCCCTCCATTTTTGGGGGATATAACGGCCGGTAGTCTCGACAAAGCTTCAGCAAGTTAACAGTGAAAGCATATATGTGAGCAAGTGTGTGGCTGTTTATTTATGTGTTAACAAAATATTACACGTACTCGTGATACACAACACTGGAGTTGTGTGCACAAAAGCGAACGAGACTTTTTTCAGTCTGTCATTTAGGTGGAGAAGAAGAAAAAACGTTAAAGCCCGTGTTCATTTTAAAACAGCTAAGCAGGTAAACACGCTAGTCGGCTCAAGACGGGAGTATATACATTTATCTAGTACAGGAGGAAGCGACACCTGGAATCATCTGAGCGTCGTCGAGGAAATATGGGGAAGATAAATAAGTGTGTGTCTGTGATCAAAGACAATCTGCTGGTGGTAACGACTCTCTTGGGGGTCGGGGTGGGGTTCGCAGTGGGGTTTGGAGTGCGTGCAACAAACCCCACGGATGACGATCTGATGTGGCTAGGTAAGTCCTGTTTTAGTTCAATTCTCGATGATGACATGCAAAGAGAAGAAATGTATAATTATATATTACCTCCATGTGTTCCTCATTTAAGAATGCATTTCCTATTAGTCTTCGTGGAATTCAATTGCAACTTTTAAAAATGTTACCATTTCCAGGTTTTATGATTATGAAACAATTACTGTAAATGAAAACATTATCGTGTGCACTTTATTATGCGAATTATGCATGATAATTTTTATTCTTTTATTCATTGATTCGCTATAGAGAAAAATGCTTTTACAACACTGAAAGTGATAATCAATATAATTAATATTTGTGGATAATTTAAATTTGCGCATTGGTCACCACGCGAATTTTCACGAAAATGAACGTCTCGCAAAAATGTAGCGAGCTACAGTAGAGAGCACATTATTGTGCATTGGTTGCTTATTTATTATAAACAGAGATAATACTATTAACAAAAAAAACCTTTCAGTTTCTAGGCGTATTAAGTTTCGGTACATTGCACGTAAGAGATATGATAAAACCTTTATGCTTTATTAGCATTACAATTAGTTACTTACACAATTCATGTAACGATTGTAATGGATCCTCGGAAGAACAATATTCACTTTGTCTGCGACACTTTTTGAAGTTGAACCAGTGTGTCGGCAACATCAGTGCAGTTTATTGCTTATATTGTTGCTTTTATAGAATTAATGCAATTAATATTGTTTTTATCTGTCTATTTGTGTTAATTGCAAAAAAGAAAATTTAATAAATAGGATAAGCATATTACATAATGAATTATGAAGGTGTCAGGAACGTTTTGAGTAATGTATTTTACACAAACAAATATATTTTCCGAGCGCGTAGTCAAGCAATACATCAGTAGTGCTCGGGTTATGCATTGATACGCTGCAAATAACAACTGTAGTTATACTGTCATAAATAAACAATTGTATTTGAAAAAGTTTTAAGATTTCGTATGAAACTCTTATTTCTTAATGCAATGATTAAATAGTATTCAAGCTTACTGACCAATATAAAGGCTATTATGAAGCGTAGAATAGGTTTTAGGATGTCCAACTCAATGTTCCGTAACTAAAAGTCATGGTATTTATATATTTATTTTGATTTAGTTCACTCAATTTTCTCAATGGCTACAAAGGGGACTGCTTTCTTTCCATACACCAACTTCTATTCGTCTGTAAAGAAAAAAATGTCGCCTTGTTTTGAACAAATTATCGACATCAATGGCGTTACTATTTCTCTATGTGAACGTTATTAGTCTTAACGTTTATGATCGTATTTAACATGAGTGTACATGACAATTGTACGTATATTTAATATCATATTACTTCATTAACGCATTTATATATCGAGATGCAAATATCGTTAACAGGTATAATTGGCGAGCTTTATCTCCGGATGCTGAAAATGATGATTGTACCACTCATCGTTACATCGGTCATTTCAGGTAAATATAAAGCATTATGGCACCCGTACAACAACATCAAATATCGTTTATTAGGTTGAAAAATAAGTTAATTTTCAGAAATTCTTTAAAATTATTTATCTTTAAGGATCCTTGTTCCAGTACAGGAAAGCTCAAAGAGAATGCCATTGTAGTCTTATCGTTCATACAGTAACATCCCTATATTTTGTTTTGAAATATTACTGTAGCCAAATGGAACAGGGTGCTTCCGTTGACAATATGTAGATCAGCTGGTTAGAGTAACAGAACAAAAATTAGAGGTCAAAGGCTGAATTCACGGTCAGTATTCATGAAACCAAATCTATGCTCAAGCATGGATTCTGTGCTCATACCAACGTTCCTGTAACTCGATTAACTCTTGTCAAACGATAAAAAAATCAAATGTAAACATTATACATTATTTGGCTTTAAGTCTCTTCAAATATTTTCCAAATCATTGACAAAATAAGATGTGTTTGTTACTTTATAACCAGTACAACAATTAGGCTTGAGCTCAAAATCCTTGCTTGAGCATGAGAATGGTTACATGATTACGGGCCCTGGGCCCGTCTTACGTCTTATGAAACAATTCGCATCCTGCAGCATGGATTCTGTGTTTAAACCTGCTTTCTTGTAACTCATTCAGATAATGCTAAACAATCAAAAGGTCAAATGTAAACATTGAAAGCAGTATTTGGATTTCAATTTCTTCAAATCATTCACAAATCACGGAAAAAATAAGATTTGATTTAATAATTTATGCCTGTAACAAGAAATAAGACTTGAGTACAAAATCAATGCTTGAGGATAGAATGATTTCATGAATTCCCTGATGTATGCTTACATCTAAAACTCTCTTGTTAATTTTTTCGTATTTTTATTCGTTATTGCACTAATTCACAAACAATCCGCAAATATTTTTCAAATGATATATGTTTACCATACAGTCATGTAGTCGAACAGTTTCCTATGCACAGTGACATTTTTTTCGGCAGTGGTACTGGGATCCTTAATTTTTAATTCTCCATTTGGGTCCGTCTGTTAGTTTGCGTGTCACTATGTATATTTTGACACTCGCTAGATTATAGATTATGTCATTGTATATTTAACATAGTTTTTTTTAGTGTAGCATTCCTAACATAGTTTTACATAAGTGCACGTGTAGTACAACAACAGTTCGGTCGATATTATCATACATAATTGCTGATTCATTTGGTAATCAGTAATATGCGTTGAGTACGTAGTAATTGGCAGTGTGCCATTTTCCTATAATGATAATATATATTAACAATCAATGGTCTTTATTTTGAGAAGCAAGGGAATACAATTATGGGAGTTAATGTAGTGGGGAGGAAGAAAGAGCGCATGGAAGAAGGAGCACACAGAAAATGAAGATATCTAGACAAGTAAAAGAGAGATGATAACAGAAAACATTGATGGAAGTCGGTGATACATAGAGGAATGGCTAGGGAGGAAGGGGTTTTGATCTAACAGCAGAAAACTACAGGAGTTGTGGGGCGGGTATACAAGGTACAAGGGCAAGGTTTGGAGGAGAAAATTGAGGAGAAACAGAAGCCTTGTTCTAAACAGGACGTAAGACATCATAATACCTCATTTGTATGAATTGTTTGTAAAAATTGGACCATTTAGGTTAAATTGATTTAAGTGCTCATGTATTTCCTTTTCAATCACATTGTCCCCCGTTACCCCAGGAAAAGTACTCGTTTCCGCTCTCAAGATAAGCACGGAAAGGGCTTAATTTGAATATGATCGTATTTCACTTGGATGTTATCTTTAAATTTAGCTGATGTGATGAACGTATCTGTATAGTTTGAATATCTTATTTCCCGTGATTAAATTCGTTTGCGTGTAAAGTTTTAACGGTCTTTGGTATTCACGATTAAAAGCATGGTACGCTTTACCACTTTGTAATAGCGCAACGTCAAGCAAGCCAACTTAACACTTAAAATCGTGAGGGATCCCTGTACCACAACCAAAAGCTATATCCAGGCATTGACCCCCCCCCCCCCCCCCCCCCCCCAAAAAAAAAAAGAAATGTGTATATCTATGAAAATCATTTACGAATAGACAACCGTACCTTGCCGAAATTTTCTGAAAGAATAATTAAGATGAAATAATGGTTTCAGTGTAAAAATGCAATGAGGCCAGGTAAGGATTCGAACCCTTGACCTCAGATCATTATACCGTCTTTCATACCAACTGAGCAGCATACTCCAACGGAATACACTGGTCCGGTCGCGCTACAGATATATCTAAAGGAGATAAAGGGGAGTATACTGTATGTATTAAAAAACTAGTGGGGTTCTCTTGTGTTTTCCTGCAATGGGAAAGAGTCCTTAATAGGTGTCTCATGTATTTAATTCCTTCAAATTTCGATATATTCGATAACCATTGAAAGCAGGTTTTCGTGTTATTGGATTTGTTATTCATTAATGAACATATCATTTATACATAACCAAGCTTGTACATATTTCTATGTTTTATAACTTTTTCAATACAAATTTAATTATATGACACTGTTTTGCAAGACATCTCAATTAATAAGCTACGTGGTAAAGTTATTTAAATACATATAACGATATATCTATTCCATTCATAAATATCGTTAGTTCTATAAAAGATGTCCCTATTTCATTAAAAGATCATTCCATTTTAATTTAGAATATCCTTACTTCAATAATTCATATATTTCATTTTTTTTTTTAAATGTATGAAGTTCATTAAGGCAGTATGTTTATCAATATGGGAGCCTGAAATTGGTTCCTAGTTCCTAGTCCCGTTTATGATAAACGGAACTAGAAACCAGACCCTAGTTCCGTTAAAGATAAACGGAACTAGGAACCAGAACGGAACTGGTTTAACATAAACGGAACTGGGAACCAGACCCCAGTTTCGTATAGTAAACGTTTAAGTTCTCTGTAATACTTTCCCTGTCTACCTCGAAAAACGAAAGGTCAAAGGCGCGTAGTTATATCTGTATCAAGTACAGGAATCCAACCCACAACCTTTCACACGGAAATTAAGACCACCATAGCCTCTATAAAGTAATTGGTCGTATACGGAACTAAGTGTCAGACTCCAGTTACGTTTTTCCTTAAACGGAACTGGGATCCAGACCCCAGTTCCGTTTAACATAAACGAAACTAGGAACCAGACCCTAGTTCCGTTTAACATAAACGGAACTGGGAACCAGACCCTAGTTCCGTATAGTAAACGTACATTGTATATGTTTTTTTTTTTAATTCTTTCACTGTCTACCTCGCATAACGCGATTTCTAAGGAGCATAGAAATATTCTTATCCATATCTTTAGTCACTTTTTTCATTACTAGAGTCAAAATGACATCTAAAATTTACTTGTGAAACTTTCCAATTGAGCTTTTCCACGTTTAATTATCCTACATGTACTGGCTCTATCTATTTTTTCTACGTATACAGCTCAGATGTGATAAAAACCAAGTTTGAAATTACATGTTGGAATTAAGCTGAAGTACGAGCTTTTTTATGGTCACCTTTATTTTAAATAGTCACTGATTAGATAATAACCGTTACAATGAATCAATCATTCTGCTGGGCACGCGTTATATTGGCGTGGTTGCTTTGCGCCAATCCACGCTGCTTTATACACTTTCTATTATTAGCTTATTGTCTATTTCAATGGTTATTCGTATTTT